GTACATCCAGAGTTGGGCCTCTTACACACACACACACATGCAGAAAGTATCACACCACACTGCGGCAATCGGTCCTGGTGTGAGTCCAGCACCACCACCACCAGCGATGCCCTGATGACACAACGTAGTGAGTCAATATGTATGGCGAAACTCTGAGTCAATATGGTCGATCGGTTTCAGAGAAATACGTAGAAGGACAAGCAAACATACAGCAACTGACAAGCAAAGGTACAGACAAGTGAAGCAAACCGTCACAACGGTCGATCTACCAAGCAGTCAAACTCATGTCTCTCACTCACAACCCAAGTTGACTCACTTATTTGACACGCATATGATAGAGCACACTGAGACGGCACAGCAAGCTGAGAGCAGCTGTTCAGCGGTCATGTTATGAACATATTTGCGAATTTTTCCAAAGGGATTTGAGGGCTCATAGAGGCCAGCAAAAGATGCACTCAGAGTGACAAAATGACCTCCCGCATGTCATTGAATGCAGCTGTCATTGAGTGCATGTGTTTGGATGTCGATCACACATGTCCGTACATGCAGCTGTCATGGTGGGACACGCAATCAGTCATTGAGTGTCTGATTGTGTGTCTCTCTCTTCACTGAGACATTCGCATGACTTTGTTCGACCAAAACAGACGAGAAACAGACAAAAACTGTTGGCACAAAAGTTTGATAGGCGACAACACACACAGACATTAATACATAGACACACACAGACCGACACACAGCCGACTGCCGGTGGCCACTGGCCAGCCTGTCGCCGCCGCATGGATGAGTGAATGCACGTTCTGCCGGAAGTCGACGAATCAGTTGTAATACAACAAAGCAGGAATGTCCATCACACTCAACCTGCATCAACGCACACACACGCACACATGCACACACATGTCTGGAGACACCAACATCGACAAACGGGCGTGGGTGATTCTCTTGGTCTTATTCACTGAGAACTGAGATGAGCCTCTGAGTTGGCCAGGTCCATAAAGCCCTTGACATTCTCGTCTGGCCAGTGAACCGACAGTAGGGTGGGAAGCCGCACTCGGTGCTTGAGGCGGGTGGGGCAGCGCTGCGCGACACGCCGAAGCAGATGCTCCAGCAGACGCATGCAGGCGTGCAGGGCACAGATGCCCGTCAGCATCATGCGGACGTCGCCGCCGCTGGAGGGCCGGTGGGCACACGGCAACTGAGGTCGCCGACCTTGCTCATGGGCACGGGGTCAGCTGGCTTCACCTGCGTCCTGACTGCAGTGGCCGGGGCGCTTGCGGCAGCTCGTTGGTCGAGGAAGTCGACAAAGCAGTCGTAGGCAAGAGGAGGCTCCTCCAGGTCACGCACGTGGTGGCTGATGGTCTGCATGGGGTGGGACGAGTGCTCGACTCCAGACAGCGGTCGCTGCTGAAGCTCAAGCCTCACGACGGCTCGATCTCGGTCAGACCGTCGTGAGGCTTGAGCTTCAGCAGCGACATGAAGTCAGACACACTGCCCGTCACAGTCAACCTGCCACACACACACACAGAGAGAGAGATATATATATATCCATCCATCCTTCACTCACGGCTTTTGTGTCGGGCCGGGGCTGATTGCCATGGACTTTGATGTCGCTCGAGCTCTCGCTGCTGCTTTTGCAGTGCGAGGGCCTTGGCGCCGACGCGACGCGTGCGATTGGCTTCGGCGTTGTCGGGCCAGTCGTCCATATCCTCATCCACGTCACCGTCCCATCCCCTGCCCTCTCCTCCCAGACTGCCTCGCCCTCCTCTCCCTCCTCCATCTCTTCCAGCTCAGCGTGGCCGTCGTGACGGTTGGCCTCCTGCCTGCAGAAGAGCTGCTGCCCGTCGTCTTCATGGTCCATGAGGGCATCGTCATCCGCACCTTCGCACGTCTGGCTGCGAATGGCGGTCGGAAGCGTCATCTGAACGGTGAGAGGGGTGGAGTGAGTGATTGAGTGAATGAAGTCGCAGTGCAAGAGTGAAATGACTGACAATCATTGCTTACCCTGCTGCTTCGCCTTCAGGCGCTTGTTCGCACCTGAGTGAGAGGCAGACACATGGACAAGTGAATGAATGGTGCCGTTGAACAGTGCTGCTTCTCTCTATTGGTTTCTCTGCTCACCGGTTGTCAATGAGCGGCTGCGCTTTTTCTTGGATGGCTGACAGATGTGAAAGGCTTTCGTTTGAGGCCTTTCTTCTTCTTTGGACCCATGGTGGCTTAGAAGGCACAGAGAACGCCTTGGGCTACCAACGCTCTTCATTGCTCCTACCCTGCAGCTGCTTGCTGTAAATGCATGCGTCACGGGGGGGGGGGGGGG